AATGTAGAAACTTAAGGCCCTGGTATACGTCAAACAAAGTTTTATTTCGTTCTTCGTCTCAGGGCAAAAAGATATTGTCTAAAATGCCTTATAAGATATTCAGATAAGTACATTTGGAGGTTAGTTACACAATTATTAACGTAATCTGCTTGTGTAATTTGATGTACAAATGTTTGCTTGAAAATAAGGTTAAATTAAAAAAAATTAAGTAAAAATCTTTTTCTTCCCACATCTGAAACACCCTGCCCACATGGAGCTCACGCCTTAATGCTTCTTGCTTATAAAATGGTGCTTTATCGTCTTGAAACTAGCCATCAGAAGATGGGTACACAGTGGTCATTAAAACAAGGATTTGGTCAGCAACATTACTCAGGTAGGCTCTGACACTATGCGTAATTGGTACTAATGGGCCCAAAGACAAGGCAGGATGGATCCATGCTTTCATGTTGGTGACGCCAAATTCTGCCTACCATCCGAATGTCGCAGCAAAAATCGAGACTCATCAGACAAGACAACGTTTTCCAATCTTATATTGTCCAATTTTGGTGAGCCTGTGCAAATTTTAGCCTCAGTTTCCTGTTCTTCGCTGAAAGGAGTGGCACCTTGTGTGATGTCCTGCTGCTGTAGCCCATCCGCCTCAAGGTTGGACATGTTGTGTGTTCAGAGATGCATGTTGTGCGTTCGGCATACCTCGGTTGTAACAAGTGGTTACCAGTCTGGCCATTCTACTCTGATCTCTGGCATCAACACGACATTTGTGCCCACCCACTGGATATTTCCTCTTTTTCGAATCAATCTCTGTAAACTCTAGAGATGGTTGTGCGTGTTAATCAGTTTAGCAGTTTCTGAAATCCTCAGACCAGCCTGTCTGGCACCAACAACCATGCCACTCTAATCACCTTTCTTCTCCATTCTGATGCTCGGTTTGAACTGCAGCAGATCGTCTTGACCATGTCTACATGCCTAAATGCATTGACTTGCTGCCATGGGATTGGCTGATTAGAAATTTACGTTAACAACGAGTTGGACAGGTGTACCTAATAGCGTGGTCAGTGAGTGTACACTACAACTATTTCTGTGCATTTTTGTGTCGCAGTGTGTGATTGGCTGTCATCAGTTTGTCATTTGCGTCACTGTTAGCTTAATACACGCCCTCCATCAAGCGTTGACACGTACGCCTGATGTAAACAGGATGAAAGAGGTTTAAGTACGGTAGGGGAAGAGGTTGTTCGGTAAAAAATAAGTTTTAGAAATCATGAATAAAAAAGTTAAATAGAAATTATCTGATTGAATCACTGAAAGGTGGCATAGTGCCACCTCACAGCAAGAAGGTCGCAGGTTCAAGTCCCTGGCAAGGCCAGTTAATATGGGTTTCCTCCAGGTGCTCCGGTTTCCCCCAGAGTCCAAAGACCTGCACTATAGGTGAATTGGACTAACTAAATTGGCCGTAGTGTATGAGTGTGCGTGTGTGAGAATGAGTGTATGGGTGTTTCCCAGTATTCGGTTGCAGCTGGAAAGACATCCGCTGCGTAAAAAATATGCCGGAATAGTTGGCTTTTCATTCTGCTGTAGCAACCCCTGATAAATAAAGAACTACGCCAAAGGAAAATGAATAAATTAATAATTTTATCACTGAATGTTTTTTGGTAGCTTTCTGGACTTTGAACAAGTTGAAACTTGCTCACTATGGAGAATAAGGGAGCTCTCAGATTTCTCCTAAATAATCTTAATCTGTATTCCGAAGATGAACGAAAGTCTCAGGAAATTTGAACGACATGTTGTTCAGTAATTAATAACAAATTAAAAAATTCTGGGTGAACTAACACCCTTTCGTATAAAATGCTTTGGAAGCATTTAGACTTCCACTAAAAGTTTTAAGTCGAATGTAAAAATGCTGCTGGCCTGAAGTCCTACTGACCCGAGGTGTCCCGGACAGGCCTCCAGCTGTTAACAGGATGGAGATGAGTCGAAGACAGATCAACTAGAGATGAAAAGAGAAGAGACGGAGGAAGAGGAGGAGTGACCAGAGTGAAGAAATCCTTGGAAGGAACTAAAAGACCTGATGCAGAGGGAAATGTGGAATTGCTCCAGAGACATCACTGAACCTTAAGAGTTAATAGTGTTTTCTTTTACTTACTTTCCTCTTCCTTCTTTTTATTTTATGTGAATGCATAGACATTGTGCAATCCATATTAGCCAGTTGGGATTTCAGGAAAGGAAGGCTACTTTAGGTTTACGTGTGAACTTAAGCACTGGGGACTAAAAACTCCATCTTATCTACGATCATCTGGACTGTTTTTACACTAAGGGCGATATGCCAGGAATATTTAAACACGCACACATAAGAAAAACAATGTAAACGTTTTCTCATTGCTACTGTACAGATGAAAACGATCACTATAATAGAGTATGTTATGGGTGTTTTGAGTCTGTTTGAAAGGCTGGAACTGAGAAACTTGCGAGAAAAAAGTACCAAACAGATTTTCCTACTCTGAGGAAAAAGCATTGCACATTTTTACCGCAGCGGATGCCTTTCCAGCCGCAACCCATCTCTGGGAAACATCCACACACACATTCACACACACACTCATACACTACGGACAATTTGGCCTACCCAATTCACCTGTACCACATGTCTTTAGACTGTGGGGGAAACCGGAGCACCCGGAGGAAACCCACGTTAACACAGGGAGAACATGCAAACTTCACACAGAAACACCAACTGAGCTGAGGATCGAACCAGCGACCCACTACCTGCTGCGCAACTGCATCGCCCGGCCTCAAACATGTAAATTAAAAAAACTTAGCTATTACCATTACTTATTTTAGTCTCAAGCTGGTAACTGGTCCACACACACACTGGTATGCACTCGTAGCTCCAGAGAGCAGTGCACATCGGACAGTTTATGAAGCATGCTGCTGGATCATGTCCAACTATAGTTATTAAACGTGATATTTAATTCATCTTGTCTCTATCTGATGAATCTTTGGCCTTGTGAATCTATAAGGTAACATGTCACAGCGTCAGTACACTGCTTCAGTCTTTCACTTTCACACTTGTACTTAGTAATTTTAGTGAAAACCTCAGATACTGTTGGTTGTGCACCATTTTTACCGACCAACCAAAAATGTATTGACAGGTGGTAATTTGTGTGCAACTTATCTTTATTTATTTATGATTTGCTTATGGGTAAAACAAAGACCATGCATGTCAGATAGTTCAAATGGTAGGCTACAAATAATTAATTTGTAAATAATTCATAAATAATTAATTCACCTCCGCCTATGACAACGATGTCATCGTTCATCCCGATGTTTTACATTAGACATCGTACGATGCCAAATTGGTCTACATCGCCCAACCCTAATACCTAGTTCAACCACTGGGTGTGAAACTTACATACAGCACTTTTAACTATAACATTTACTAAGTCAGTGACATCAGAAAGCATGTGCATTGAAAAAAATGACTGATTGGTTCAAAAGCCAATATGGTGTGCAAGCTGTGCAATGGTAAGAAATATAGTAATTAGGGGTGTCAAAATTAATTGTTTCTTCTGTGCACCGCGATGCAGACGCGGACAATTCTGTATTGGTTCAGTAATAATCATAACCGGTTATTATGTACTGACGTCATTTATCTCCTATGCGCTCTGTTGCGAAGAAGGTGAGCGCGAGTATTTACAACACTCAGCCAACTCAGGGCCGGTCCGTGGCATAGGCACCATAGGCATGCTAAGGTCGCTGTACATCCAGGGGGCGCCAGAAATGAGCGCGATTCAGTTGGTTTTGTTTTTGATTTTCCTGACACACATTCAGTTATAGATGACATTAACTTAAAAACCTCTTACCCTAAAAAGATCTAAAGTGTGTTTCCTACAAAAAGACAAAGCTGGTTATGTTTTACTGTCTTTCTTCTTTTTTTTTTTTCGCTTGACATTACGAGCACTGCTCCGTTTAAGCCCTCGCAATATGTATATAGCTGGGAGAGCTCGCACTGAGAGGAGCTCTCAGTAAGGGAGTGTCGGAAAAGTGCTTCTTTTTTTTTCGTTTTTCTGCTTCGCTCAGCGCGAGCTCTTCTTGTTGCGAGGGCTTAAGTGTGTGTGTGTTTGTTTGTTTGTTGCTGTCTATGTTTGTGTATGTGTTTGAATAAGAGACAGTGTGGTGATTGTTATAGCCTACCCCCTAAAATATAACACTGTATATAGAAAGCATCGTCAATGCACCGTGATATCGAATTGAACCGAATCGAAGTTATGATAATCGTAACCGAACCGAACCGTGAGACCAGTATAGGTTCACACCTCTAAAAGTAATACACACTATACTCTATATAAAAGTAAAAAACCAAGCCATTTTTGCACTGCCACCATTGATCAACAGTAAAACTGCTAAATCTGACACTCAGAGCGGAAGATCTGTGATTGGTTGGATTGGTAGTGTCGATGAGTGTGAGCTACTGCTACAGTATTATAACACACATTTCCAGCAAAACTCATAACACTGGCAAAGAAACTCAACACATTGAAACATAGAAACCCCACTGCCTGCTAGCATTTCAGAAGTGTTCTTGCCAGAACAGCACAGACAGAACGCAGAAGTATAAATGCTCACAACGGCATCAACTAGGTGTGAGGTATGCACTGTAGGGTACACAGATCACTCGATACTGAAGCATATGCCAGCCTTTACAGCATAAAGACGGGACAGTCTTTCAGAACAAGGTGTTTAGTAGAAGAAATGAAAATTCTGACATCGAGAATGTGTGTGTGTGTGTGAAATGAGTTGATTTCCACATGGGACTTTTGCTTTCTGTTGTTTTTCAGCTGTGTTTGATCTAAAAACCTTCTTTGATGTGAAGAAACAGATCTGAGAAACAGGAAGTGCATGCTGTCTCAAACTTCATATTCTCAAAACAAACAAAAGGCGAAGGAAAGGAAACAAAAACATATTGTTAGACAAACGCGGACCAATAGATGAAAAAGGGTACCTACGTTTACCTGGCCATCTTGCCCAACGTGCACCTGGTGGATCTGTAGGTTGCCCTGCAAGACAGGAAAAAAAAACATATACATTCAAATTACAGTAGAAGCTGAGTATAAGTATATTAGAATATAAATATTCAGATTGGGTACAGATTTGTATCCTAGGTTTTTTTATACACTTTCATAAAAACATGCGTATTTGTATAAGTTAAGCATGCCAAATTGCATACTGTCTTAGTAGGTGCTACATTCCTGTTTGAAAGGTAAAAAAAGTAAAAAATAATGATTTCATTTCACTTGCCATTTTCAAAATAAGAGTCTCACATTTACATACAGTACGTTTATTCAATTCAATTCAATTCAGGTTTATTTCTTTGACGCCTTTAACAATAATTACTGTTTGAAAGTAGCTTTACAATTTTACAATGCACATTATTTAACGATCTAAGCGCAAAGTCTAAAGCACATTTGCGAAAAGCATAAGGACGTGTCCGAATCCACTTAAAAACAGTTAGGCAAACCATCTGCGCGAGGATAAAGAGTGAGCCTTTTCATTCTCCCTCTTTACTTTTACTCTTTACTCCTTTACTTTCATAGATAAAAAAGGTGTTGTACGCACTCCACTGAAGACATCCATTAGCCTACATATTTAATTTTGTTTGTTCAGCACAAAGATTTGTTTCAAAATCTGTTATATATACATACATAATACATAATACATATACATCATTTTCAGCCAAAGAATAAATGAACCATCATTTTAAAGTGTGGTCAAAAAACTTAGTGGCATCCAAACACACATGCTATTCTTATGCCCCATATGGTGATGCAGACGTCTCTGAAACTTTTGATTAAAACAAATATAAATATGCATTTAATAAATAATACTGCTATCAATAATAACATTATACAAATACAAACTGTCATAATAAACTGAAAAAAGCCCCCGTACATGAAGGCATGGGGTTTTTATATTTATGTAAAAATTAATATTTTTGTGACATTGTAATGCTTTAATTTTATTCATATGTAAAGATACTAGTGTATTGCTGTTCATCCTGTGTGTATTAAGAAATGGGCAAGCGTTTTCGACCCACATATGCCCATAACTAACACGCTCTTTAAATTATAAAAACTCTTCGCTGGACTTTAGACCAGATTTAGTTGGTGAATGGTGTGGTCTATTTTAATTAAAAATAGCAACTCACCAACAATAACCAATAAACAATATTCCAGTTTTTCCTATCGATTTAATTCGAATCTTCGGATGGAAACACGGTTAATGACATCCCAAACTTTTGCATAGGTTTGAGTTCTTCTGTCAAACTGTAATTCCAAAAGACTCGTTCCCAAGAGACGAACGTTAACATCAAATGGAAAATCGGTTATGGATTTCGGGCTGACCACTTGTGATTGCACCACTAAAAAGGCATGTTTATACCAGGCTTAAATATGGCCTGAAGTTTCTGATGAACACCTTCTAGAGGATGTGAATGAAAAATGTATTCTCTCAGCAAATTTCAGATCTGGTTTTGTATCTCATTCACGGAAAGTGGCAGTTATACAACACGCAGTTTTTCATCAAGGATAAAATTGCTGCTCGACAACAAAGTTTCAATCATGTTCTCCCATCCGACACTTAAACACACATACAAACCTGACAAATATTCTGGATAAAGGGAAATGATCTTAAGACGGCTCATTTCCTTTACAAACTCTCTCAGATAAATGGTTTTGATGAAGCGGGCCAAATACATTACAAAGACAGTCTTTGTGAGCGAACGCTGGATGAAGTGGCACTCTGTTGCTAAGCTCTAGACTCAAAAACAAACAATATCACTAGGATTTATTAAAAAAAAAATAAAAAATCACCACTGAAAATCAATGCCATCATCAATTCCTGTGAATCAGTACAGGAAGACTGTTACGATTTTATTCTCCACTTCTTTCTCCTCTCTTTTCCTCTCAGGATGACAGATGGAGTTGATCCGAATGATGTTTACATATTTGCAGACACCTTTACATAATCTAGTTTAAATCCAGGACATTGTGCACTCAAACGCTTTACAAATGAGTGCTTTAGAGAAATCTATCTGCCTAAGATCACACTAAAACTGCTAGGGCAGATATAATGGATAGACGGTGGCCTTCTTACAGAAACACAAATGATGCGTTTATTTCCTCAGGGGAAGCAAATGTATGAATTAAAGGTAAAGTAACAAACAATGGAATAAAATCACAGTCATAAATATTTTATGTGTCAATAAAATTCACGCATCCGTAATAATAAAATCGTAAAGGAAAACGGAGCGTACTCGTAATTTTACGAGGGTACAATTCCAAAATCTGCGGTTAGAACACAGATACGACATCTTCTTTTCTGTTTGTATATGACTAATAAATTTACGATGGGTGTACTTTACAAACACGAAACATACTTTCATCAGGGACACGAAGTCCTGATTACCAGTACGAATCAAACAGTAACACTCCACTGCCAAAATTACGTCACCGCTGTCACAGGCATTAATAAACAAGCGAGAGTCATCGATCACAACGGTGCGCCTGCTGGCCACTCAGAGCCCCTACACACCGTCTCAGGTAGGAGTTTTGTTATTCCCTCTTTAAGAAATATCCGTCATGAGCTTTAATAAAGGTTGAGACTTAATGAGGTCCATTTTCGCTGTGTTTCTTGGACATTTTACAGAATCAAAATTATGAACGGGCCAAAGATAGTGAGCTAGCATAATGTAAGTTAACATTACAGACAGCGATCGCAGTATCAGTGAATCACTGAACACTGTTACAACTATAACGTGACATCTGTTGATTATTGATTATTGATCGAGTACGCTCCGTTCCTTTATGATTTTATAATTACGGATGCGTGAATTTTATTTACGCACGGAATATTTATGACAGTGATTTTAATCCATACAAACTGTATTTACCTCGCTGTCCTGCGTGATCTGCACCTGTTCCCCCTGTGGCACCTGAGCGATGTGAAGGTGTCCCTGTGGTATCTGTTAACAGGAAGATAAGATACCTTAATAATGAGACACTTAAAAAAATATATTTGCCATTTAAAAGTATATACAGTATATACATTTTTTAATGCCAAACACACACACACACACACACACACACACACACACACACACACACATATATATATATATATATATATATATATATATATATATATATATATATATATATATATATATATATATATATAAATAAAAACAAGAGTTCTTGCCTGTTCTCAAAACTAATTGGCAGATAGCCATGCGATATTCTGCAATAACAGCACTCTTACAGTCTCTTCACTTTTGTATGTTACTCCGCCCACATAGAGTGACAGCAGATCAATAGACTTACTACAGTTTAACAAGTATTTCAGCAGTTGGACAACACAATGTACTTTTGAGGCTTTTAAGGTGAAAATGTAGTTGTTTAGATTGCAACTGTTTTCTTTATTTCTATAGCGCTTTTACAATGTAGATTGTGTCAAAGCAGCTTCACATAGAAGAACATAGTGAAACAGAGTCAGTTCAAGTTTTCAGAGTTCAGGTTCAGTTCAGTTCAGTTCAGTTCAGTGTGTTTTAATATTCACTGCTGAGAGTCCACAATGCAGTTTATTAATATGGATGGTGCCTATTTTAAAATAATTATTATTTAAATTTTATTAGAGTAAATTAGTAAATTTTCAAGTGAATTTCTGCTGATCTCAAGTCAGCTGCAAATGTGAATGATTAGTGGAAGAAAGTAGTTCCTCGTATAAAAGGATTTTTAGACTGTCCGAGCCTGTCCGAGGCTAAGCGTGGCGTGCACACACATAACAGCATGTGTTCTTTCGCGATTTTAAAAATATGAATGATGCGCATCCCATGCTGCAAAAGTTACATTTACAGTACATGCTTTTAGTCATTTTAACGTGGAACTGAGCTTTGCAGAGCAACAAATATGTAAAACTGGAAGGGAGGCGGTATATGATGCAATAATTGTTTATCTCGATTAATGGTTTTTCATAATCGTTAGAAGCCAAAATCGAAACCGGATATTCAATTAATTGCACAGCCCTAGCTCCAGGTGAACCAACTATTAGCTCTGACACGTGTCACAGTTGTTATGGTTACTCAGGGTTCAACGCTAAGGATTTTTCCTACTGGCCCGATTGGACCAGTGGCTCAGATTTTTACTTGCCCTGCCAAAATTTTCACTGGCCCCAGCAAAAAAAAAAAAAAAAAAAAAAAAAAAAAATTAACAAAAAAAAAGTTAATTGCTATTTATTAGCCACATATATTAAATAATGGGTCACAAAATATTGTCTGTGAATCTAGAATTTAAATGTTTGAAAAATGTTAAAATATTTAGCAGTAAAATATAGAGTGTGGAAATGTGCGGGTATTTTATTGCAAAACAATAGGTGGCCGACTTAAAAGTGACGGCAAACTAAGCAAAACATCACTTCATTTTTTTGGTTGTGTTGTACCATGTAAATGTTTCCACAATGTTAGAAGCAGACGTTTTCGGCGGTTATGTTGCCGTCTATTAAAATTTAGTGACAAGGCAGCACTGCCCCGATCGGGCTAGTAACGATTTAGTCTACTGTCCCGAGCATCTCTCATGCTGGCCCCGGGCCATCGGGCAGTCTTTATTGTTGAGCCCTGTTACTACTGACGTTTTGAGGGAAGCGCATTTATTTCAAACTGCGATCAAAACTGACTGGAACTACCTGTGCATTAAACTATTTATTTGCACACCTTCCAGCCAATCAGATAGCTTATTGCATGCCTTCCAGCCAATGTGTTTGTGCGTATGCTATAACTATACCATTAGATATATCTTTTTATCTTGACGTAATCATTTTTTTTACAAATTATTGTAATGTAGGCGACGCAGTGGCGCAATAGATAGTGCTGTCGCCTCACAGTAAGAAGGTCGCAGGTTCGAGCCTCAGCTGGGTCAGTTGCCGTTTCTGTGTGGAGTTTGCATGTTCTCCCTGCGTTTGCGTGGGTTTCCACCACAGTTCAAAGACATGCAGTACAGGTGAATTGGGTGGGCTACATTGTCCGTAGTGTATGAGTGTGTGCGAATGAGTGTGACTGGGTTTCCCAGAGATGCGTAAAACATATGCTCGATAAGTTGGCGGTTCATTCCGCTGTGGCGACCCCAGATTAATAAAAGGTACTAAGCCGAAACTAAAATAAATGAATGAATAATTGTAATGTAATGATGTTTTCGGATTTATGACAATAATTACGATAAAACGCCAGTTAATGTTTACTCTGTTAAATGTTTTTTTGATTGACATGTCAATCACTAAACAGAAACCCCAGATTTGACCATTTCAATCTAATGATGTTTTAATGATAATAATGCCATAATGACTGTATTTCTAGTACTTAAAACAACACATGAATTTCAGTATTAATGCTCCACTTGTATGACCTGGATGACTTTCGTCTCGTTCTGCACGATATTTCAGCACCGTGGTATGGAAACGGCACATTTTCCACAATTAATGTGATGTGCTTCCAAACATTTGATATTATTGGTTTTGCTAATCAGTTTTTTCCGCCACCACTTCACCAAAGTTCTCACAAAAAAGCCAAAGTTAGGAAAGTTTATAACAGAAGTTACACAAGCCATCATTCAAAACTAAAAAGAGCGTGTCATTGTTTGCCGTATCTGACAAGCTGACATTATCGATTATGTGCGAGCGACAAAACCTGAACACCGGAGGAGCCAAAGGCCTTGACAAAAAGTTGTTGCCTCCGAGAGTACAACTATTATGCTTCGGTTCAGGGAGATGTTACACAAACAACAGATGACAGATTGGTTTTGAGTCGGTCGATGCCAAGAACTCCTCCGCAGATTCGAGTCTCTTGATTGTACATTGTGTATTCAGAGTTTTTGATTGTGCTGTCACAATGTATGCGGATCATATTTCGGATGGTGTGTAGGTTTGGAGGTGACTTCATGCAGCTGTGAGAGTCAGAGATCATGTTTGGGTTCAAAAGAGGTCGCAGGATTGGGCAGAGCGGAAATTCTGCTGCTAAACCTCCGTTAAAGGCTTGCAGAGGGTTGGAGTTTCCTCTTGCGACTCAGAAGTTCTCAGAGAGATGTTTGAGTCGTTTGTGCAATTAATAAAGATATCAGATTAACAGGTATGTATGCATTATGTTACGAGATGTATAGTCTTGCAAATGTTATACATTTGTGAGGTCATCAAGGTGTTGCGACTTGAATTTTGTGATATTGAACAAAACATTTTTTATAAAGATAATTAAACAACAATGTTTTTACAAAGTTACACTCATTGTATAACAGTGATTTGTTCAGTTGACTTTCGAAAAAATGTATGCTTAAGGGAGTTAATAATATTGACTTAAAAAAAATAACTGCTTTTGTTCTAGCTGTAATAAAACAAATACGACTTTCTCCAGTAGAAGAAATATCGAGAGAGGGAGGTTTGGCCTATTGGATGATGCTGAGACAATACTCACAACTTGCACCTGTCCGTCTTCTCCTATACGGTGTATCTGGACTTGTTGCGTGGCTCCAGCCAGAGCGTAGTGCAAGGCCTGCTGGGTAGAGGTCTCGATAGCCGATGTTTCTGCAGCCGAGACTCCATCTGTTCCAGGACACACATAAACAAAGTTTATAACACGGTCCAACTATGTGGGTCAAACCAGAAACTAGAGACTGGGTCAAATGGTGTCAAACAACTGGATTCAATAACAGAGGATACTCAATTGTAACTGCCAAACACACACACACACACACACACCCTCTCTCTCTTTCTCACTCACTTAAAGAGATCCCATAATATACTCTGCCTCTAAACCTGTTTGAGTTACTTTCTTCTGTTTAACACAAAAGATGTTTTGATGAATGTTTTAAACTGGTAATCATTGACTTTTTTTTTGCTATGAATGTTAATAGTAAATATCTTCTTTTGTGTTTGACATAATTAAGAAACTCAACAAGTTTAAGGGTGCGTAAATAATGGCAGAGTTTGCAATTTTGGGTGAACTTTAAGCAAGACTGGAGACTACAATCTGTTCCCCATCACAACAAATTATAGTACAACCAGACAAACGGCCATTTCTATACACGGCCACAGGTCATGTACTCCGCAAAATTTGTATGAACGCGCGCAAACCCAAACAAATGTAGAAGAGAGCATACGATAAACAAGGTTCTCATAGATGAAGAAAAGCGCAAGAGTTCACATACACACACCCTGAACTTGAGGAAAATCCCTTCCGACTGCTATTGGATCTGATCCAGTGCATCTGCCAGATTAGAGCGTGTTTATACAGCGTAAATGATCTCAAAATACACAACACAGGCTCTCGAACCTAGCAGCCCAAACACTCTCGTGCCCTAAAATTGTATGCAAACCCAACCCCTCAGTCTAAACAACAAGCATCACCGACAGCACAGACACTCTAAACACACACTCGCCGCAATTCTGATTAAAGGTCGACAAGTTGTCTCTGGAAAAATGGTGCGGGTGTTCATTTAATTGTTAAGTGATTTTAAATCAGCGCTAATGGCATTTTAGCAGGCTATCTTGCTTTTTTTTCTTAAAGCAAAAGCTCAAAAATTGACACTGCTCAGCGCAATAGCCTAGTGCAGTGGCTCTCAAACTTTTTTTATCAAGTACCACCTCAGAAAAAAATTATCTCCCCTAGTACCACCAAAATGAGCAGTATTGAAATACAGTAGCGTAGTAGGCCCAGAAAAGCAGCTACAACTCTGCACAGTTAAAAAACGTGGCATATTACCTCAGAAATATAGTCTATATGTCAAATGTGGCATATTATGTACATCATTTTTGATACATTTTGAAATGTGTGTAGCATGTACATGACATATTTCATTCCTCCGCGTACCACTAGAAGGAAGCCTGTGTACCACTAGTGGTACACGTACCACAGTTTGAGAACCACTGGCCTAGTGGTTAGCGCGCCGACATATGGTGCAATAGCACGTCAGGGCATCACGAGTTAGAATCCCGGTTCGACGACATTTCCCTATCCTACCCCCTCTCTCTCTCTCCCACTTCGCTTCCTGTCTCAATACTGTCCTATCTAATAATAAAAGCAAAAAGGCCAAAAAAAATCTAAAAAAATAAATAAAAAATTGACACTGCTGTATACAAAGTTAGAATGGGATCTCAATTTGGGTCTTTCTCTGAATGCGGATGAAAAGCAAACTGGATTCAAGATGTGCAAAGTGAAAGTACCCGCCCTCATTACGTCAGTAACAAATCACTCTTTGTATTACGCTGCCCGACTGCCTGTCTCGGTTTCAAGCATGGTTTCATCAAGGTCCGCTACTGATGTAATGGGGACGGGTACTTTCACTTTTCACAGCCACTCACCTCTCCTCGTGTTCAAACCAAACTAAGATCATTGCGGTTTTTCCCATGGCAGGTTTTTACATCCTTACGTCCTTCATACATGTTGAGTTCATCAACTTGAAGAGGGAATATGTCTTGACATAATCCACGCAGATGTGACTTAGTAAAGCGTGAAGTCATGTATTTTTTTAGTTGTTGCATTAGACTAAATGTAAATCCCCTCGTCAGGCAGAGCCGGAGGAGCATGAGAGAGTGGACCAAGGCGCATCAAACCAAAGGTATTGACAAATGAAATATACACAACTTAAGACACTTAAATGCTTGTACTTGTAGTTTCTGCACCAGCTCTACGATGCACGTCTACAACTTCATACATTGGGTTAAATTAGGCTGTCCAGTCTCCGTGTTCAGTACATTACTTCTATTGTATTTGTTACCTGCGGGTGGGGGAGGGGGGATATGACATCAGCCCTGTGACATCAGACACAGTGACATTCAAAGATGGCGGCGCCCTAGGTCTAAGGGTGCTTTCACACCTCATAATTCTCTCTACATATAGTCGTATGCCGATTACATATCCATAAAACACAGTGATATAACCACGCTAGGGTTGTAACGGTATGAATTTTTTACGGTATGATAATCGTCTAAAACAATACCACGGTTTGACGGTTTCGCGGTATACGGTATTAAATAGTAATTCTCATAGCAAAGACCCTGAAAAGAATAAGAACACGTTTTCTGACTGAACAAAGGTTTTATTTCAACAAACTTTTGAAAGAACCATTTTAATAGAACTATAGAAGTCTTTTATAAAAATAAACTGAAAAATCTCCCTATTTAATAAATTAAATTAGAAGGAATAAACAAGCAAGGTCTTTTAAGATTAGACAAAAATAAACTTAAACTGTCCTTCCTTATAAGCAGGATAAATGGGAGACCAAAAGTGCAATACCAAGTTTATGGCTGTAAACATGTATTTAAAGCGTTGTTTTTTTCAGTCTAGGTTGTGATGAAGAAATGTAAGCATGTTGAGATTTTCAGGACTTAATCTTGACCGCTGAGGTGAGAGAATGTGTCCACTTGTACAATGAACAAATAAAAAAATAAGAAAATAACAAATAATGTGTCAAAGTCCAAATAAACATAAATATTTACTATACTATAAATAGTTTCATAACGAAACTAGATTCAATATGGAACATCCTTAGGTTTTATGTGCCAGCATGGATATGGTTGTCTGTGGATATGGATTTGGATATGGTTGTCTGCAATGCAGACAAACAGCTGCATCTTCATTTGCGTCTTTTGAAAACAGCAAGAGCAGCAGTTCGTCTTTGCTGTGTCACTGTGTCGTCATGTTTTTGTGCTGCTGTGCATGCAAAAGGTCTTTAGTATGAAAATTATTTCATGCAAAACTTTTTTTTTTTTTGCGTTTTATTTAGCCGCGCAGAAATGTATGCCTATCTCTCATTCCGTGTTGTTCAAAAAGCTCAGTGTTGGTCCACAAACAAAAATGAAACCTATGCTTATTGGTTGTGATATAGCGAGTTTGAACCAATCAGGGCATGGAGGAGGGACAATGCATCAATGTATCATGTCTGGTTTGTCCGGAGACACAGTGACGAGCGTTTCTTTGTCAAATCAGCGTTGTCAAATTTTGATGACGTAACCGCACTGATTACGGAGCCTCTGAAAGTCCGCGAATGTTATGTGATACAGCACTGGAAAGCCGAGATTCTCTTCTTTATGCCAATCTTTGAATTGTATGAATCGGATCAGAGGATCAAAAGTTATTAAACATTTAAGAGCAATACTTATTTTTAGCCGCGGGCGGCTGTCTCGGTCTTTAAGGGTTAAAACCGTTGATATGCAATTGTTCATGGTATGATAATCGTGCACGTTCAAATCGTGGTAGACCGTCATACCGGTATATTGTTACAACCCTAAACCACGCTCAGATCGTATCGCTTTCTCACTGCAATCGATCCGCTCCAGAGTTCGTTTCAATCGAGTCGAGACCACCTCATTCAAGCGTTCTCGGAGCGATTGATTTGGCGCGGATCCGAGAGCGATTGGTGGTTTCACATATGCCAAACGAACCACGCTAACTGGGCAAACGAGACAGGTTCCGAAACAAAAGTGTAGGTGTGAAAGCACCCTAAAAACTATAGTAAAACATGACGTTTTCTTCTAAATGGTTACATTAATCGAGTTTAATATATTTTCATTGAAGTGAAATCCAATGTACAAAATAATGTAAACTTGACCAAGTGCTTCGTTTCCCCTTTTAGTGTTTAAAGCACATTTATGCACTGTGTCATATCACTCAGCTCTTAATGTTATTTCTCTGAGGTGAAAGGTGGCAATATTCTTCAGAAAGGTCAGTTTATATGGAGATTAATATAAATTCCTGCCTGTGTTTTCATTCATTCATTCATTTTCTTGTCGGCTTAGTCCCTTTATTAATCCGGGCCACAGCGGAATGAACTGCCAACTTATCCAGCACGTTTTTACGCAGCGGATGCCCTTCCAGCCACAACCAATCTCTGAGAAACATCCACACACACTCATACACTATGGACAATTTAGCCTACCCAATTCACCTGTACTGCATGTCTTTGGACTGTGGGGGAAACCGGAGCACCCAAATGCAGGGAGAACATGCAAACTCCACACAGAAGCGCCAACTGAGTTGAGGCTCGAACCAGCGACCTTCTTGCTGTGAGGCGACAGAACTACCTACTGCGCCACTTCATCGCAGCTTGTGTTTTCATACAAATTAAATCCACAAAATCATAGGAGCAGAGCTCATTATTATTCATGACCATTCCAAATATGGTCAATATCAGAACTTTTCTTCCTAGGGGCAAATTCTAAGGTTATAAATGGGATTGTAAAACTGTTTCTGGAGACTTTTTACACATACCAATCTGTAAACAACAGAGAACAATTTTACATAGTGTATCAATGCATTCTATGGCACCTTTAAATGTAATTTAGGTTTCATGTTCTAATGGTTGGCATGATATTTAAAACAAATGAAAATTTTCACCATGTTTTAAAATGCAGCTGCTTAATAAACATAATGTTAATGTTTGCCACTTTAGTGCCAATTTTTATATTTGTCTTTTAGTGGTTAGTCTATGTCTTTTATATCTCTGCAGTTAGTTACCATGTTTTAGAAATGTAATAAACTTGATAAAGTATGAAAACTTGTTGACAAAATCTTTTTTTTACGAAAACGGTTAGAGCACATGCTT